AATCAACGGTTTGAATCCGGAGAGTGGGATGAGCCCCTGCTATTAGCCCCAGCTTCTGCCAACCTAGCAGTTCAAAAACATTCAAATGTGAGTAGATCAATAGGTACCACTCTGGTGGGAAGGTAATGGCACTCCATGCAGTCATGCCAGCCACATGTCATTGGAGGTGTCTAAGGACAACACCAGCTCTTTGGCCAATTCCTAGTCCTCTTAAAGGATATAAAGTCAGAGGAGGAAGATGCAGCAAGAAAGATGCAGCAAGGCTACCTCCATTGCTTGGGAGGAGGTGTTTCTTGTGGGTCTAAATCAAGCCCCAAATTATGGCTGAGCTTCCTCCTTTCCCTGAAGCGCACACACACACATATACAAACCCTTCTCCCACCTAGAATATTTTAGGTTCCTCTCGCCTATTTTGTTCCAAGCCGCTGGTTGTCCTTCCCGTAATGGAGTGACCACAGTTGCGGTTTCAAATGCCTGGCTGCCGGTGCCAGAACAACCTTGGGGATGATTTATATTCTGCGCTCCTAGATAAACACCTTGGAACCTTGTTTGCACTTTGTTTCCCAGCCAAAAGGACTCTGGGCAGCTGGCTTTAATGCGCTGATGGAGGAGCCGGGAGTACAAACTGCGGGCAGGGAAGAGGCAAAGAGCAAACAAAGGGGCCCGTCCTGCTGTTTTATGGTATAGCCCAATTTAGATTCCAATGCTGCCGTGCTGTCTGTCAAATGCTGGGGTTGGGATCCAAAAAGGAGACTACTACCCTGACCACACAGCCAATATATCTGATTTTAGAAGCAAAGGGGGATCGGTTCTTTTCGGTACATAGGAAAAACCAGAGATCTCTAAGTAAAGGTTGGAAACATTTATGCTCGTAGCTCTGGAGAGTTGCAACTTCTGGTCAGTCTTGGCAATGTTGACACTGAACAGATAGACCAAGAGTCCAATCTCCGCATTGCTAGAAAATCCTGTTAAGAGGGACAGGACTGCCTTCGTATTGTATATCTCACTGCCTTTTGGATGTCTCTTTGGGAGCCTTCAACATTTCAGCTAACACCTCCCAACAAAGGATCCCCAGGCAGCAACCAGCCAGGCTTTGAAGCTATGAGACCATTAAATGTTAATCAAGGTGGCAGAGTCCAAAGGAGTTCTTTCTCCCACCCTGGACATTCCACAGGTATATAAACCTCATTTACCTAGTTTCAAACTGACCTCCTCACAACCTCTAAGGATGCCTTCCATAGATGTGGGTGTAACATCAGGAGAGAATGCTTCTGGAATATGGCCAGACAGCCCGGAAAACTCACAGCAACCCATTTCCCGGAAAACTCACAGCAACCCATTTCAAAGATGACTTGTGGTCAGGCAACATCAAGAGTATAGTCAAGATGGCAAAACTTATTCATAGGGGATGACACATGAGTTTGGAGAGGTTGCAATTATTTGCTTTTGGCTGACTGGAAAGTGCAAAATTGTGATTGTGTGTGTTTGCCTGATGAAGAAACTAGTGGCACTGCAAAAGATTGCATGATGCATTTTGTGCATTATGTGTTATTCGTTGTGCATCTGCCATTGTCCATCATATACAGAGGTGCACCCCATACTTTGCATTGCAGTTGACTATCCTATATTTTGAATTCCAGTTGGGCATCCCATCACAATTGGGCATCACAATCTTTGCATTATGGTTGTTTATCCCAGGTCTTTTTAAACTTTTCCGCCAGAGAAATCTTCACATTACTTCATGTATATGTTTATGTGTGTATAAAATATGTATACAAATCAAACATCTATTGATAACAAACCAGCATCTGCAAGGCTTGCTAAACAGGCTGATTTTACTTTTTATGAAGTACCGTACATCTGAAGCATCTTCTGCAGAGTCTGTTGCAAACACTGCATATTGTTACTAACAGATGTGTGTCATGTGCAAAACAGAAATACTTTATTGTTGCCCAATTTTTGGTGACCATAACAGTGATCGAAGGGGACCCTCTTTGGGGTTGGGACCAACAGCTTAAAAAGCAATGGTATATCCTTTGCATTACAGTTGTGCATCCCATAGCTGGCATTGTGCTTAGGAATCCCATACTTTGCAATTACTGTTGCACATCCATAGTTTGCATTGTGTTTATGCATCGCATTCTTTACGAATGCACTTATGCATCCTATACTTTCACTTATGGTTGCACATTGTGGCTCTAAATCAGTGTTTCTCAACTGGGGGTTGGGACCCCGAAGGGTCACAAGGCGGTGTCAGAGGAGTTACTAAAGACCATCAGAAAACATTTTCTGTTGGTCATGGGGATTCTCTGTCAGAAGTTTGGCCCAATTCTATCATTGGTGGTGTTTAGAATGCTCTTTGATTATAGATGAACTATAAATCCCAGTAACTACAACTCCCGAATGTCAAGGCATATTTTCCCCAAACTACGCCAGTGTTCACATTTCAGCATATTGAGTATTTGTGCTAAATTTGTTCCAGATCTATCATTGTTTGAGTCCACAGTACTCTCTGGATGTAGGTGAACTACAACTCTAAAACCCAAGATCGATGCCCACCAAACCCTTCCAGTATTTTCTGTTGGTCATGGGAATTCTGTGTGCCAAGTTTGGTTCAATCCCATCGTTGGTGGAGTTCAGAATGCTCTTTGATTGGAGGTGAACTATAAATCCCAACAACTACAACTCCCAAATGACAAAATCAATTCCCCCCACAACCCCCCAGTCTTCACATTTGGGCATATTGAGTATTCGTGCCAAGTTTGGTCCAGGTCCATCATTGTTTGAGTCCACAGTGCTCTCTGGATATAGGTGAACTACAACTCCAAAACTCAAGGTCAGTGCCCACCAAACCCTTCCAGTATTTTATGTTGGTCATGGGAGTTTTGTGTGCCAAGTTTGGTTCAATTCCATCTGTGGTGGAATTCAGAATGATCTTTGATTTTAGGTGAACTATAAAACCCAGCAACTACAACTCCAAAATGACAAAATCAATCGCCCCCAACCCCACCAGCATTCAAATTTCGGCGTATCAGGTATTGGTGCCAAATTTGGTCCAGTGAATGAAAATCCATCTTGCATATCAGATATTTAAATGACGATCCATAACAGTAGTAAAATGACAGTTGTGAAGTAGCAACGAAAATAATGTTGGGTTGTTGTAGGTTTTTTCGGGCTAAATGGCCATGGTCTAGAGGCATTCTCTCCTGACGTTTCGCCTGCATCTATGGCAAGCATCCTCAGAGGTAGTGAGCTACCTCTGAGGATGCTTGCCATAGATGCAGGCGAAACGTCAGGAGAGAATGCCTCTAGACCATGGCCATATAGCCAAAAAAACCTACAACAACCCAGTGATTCCGGCCATGAAAGCCTTCAACAATACATTGAAAAAAAATGTTATGGTTGGGGGGTCACCACAACAAGAGGAACTGAATTAAGGGGTCACGGCACTACGAAGTTTGAGAAACACTGAACTGAATGTTTTATTGTGTATTGCATATTTCCAAATGTGGGTATTTACTAGGACCATGCAATTTGCTTCTGACATGATAAATAAATAAATACACCACGCTCCAATCTCAGAGCCAAAACACAAAAAAAGACCCAACCGACTTTCCTTTTGGTGATGGGTTCAAATGCTCCAATGCTTCTGAAGCCTACCGCAAGACATGCAGCGATTCCTTCCTGTCCAGCGCAGGGTGGGGGGAAGAATGTTCTTGTCCCTTGACCAGCTTCTTTTAAGAGCCCAGGAGAGCAATAAGCATCTGAACAAACACACACCTGGGCCAACGCAATGGCTGCGGAGAGCAACGTCTTCCTCAGGCATCCTGAGCACCCAAACACTGCCCTCCTGTTCACATCCAAAAAGTGGGAAGACGTGGGCACTGCCAAGCCAAGGGTACCTTGCGGGGAAGGGGAACAGTCGGGCAGTGTTTCCTGAAGACTCTCTGTACCCTTTTTTGCAAACCTCATCCTCACTCTATCTCGCAGGGCATCCGCCTCGATCATCATTTCCAGGCAATTGGGGAAGGTTGCTCAACAGAGTCTTCACCCACCCTTCTCGGAAAATTATTTATTTATTTAAAACTTTTATATCCCGATCTTCTCTACCTCCGTAGAGGGACTCAGACCAGCTAACAGCAAAGATTCAATGCTAACAGTAAAAATCTAAAACATTATATATCGACTAGGACGCAATGGAACAATGGCTTCAAACTACAAGAAAGGAGATTCCATCTGAACTTGAGGAAGAACTTCCTGACTGTGAGAGCCGTTCAGCAGTGGAACTCTCTGCCCCGAGTGTGGTGGAGGCTCTTTCTCTGGAAGCTTTTAAACAGAGGCTGGATGGCCATCTGTCAGGGGTGATTTGAATGCAATATTCCTGCTTCTTGGCAGAATGGGGTTGGACTGGATGGCCCATGAGGTCTCTTCCAACTCTTTGATTCTATGATTCTATGATTAAATTAACAAATATATATAAGATAAATTACATAAAAGCCATTCGACAAGATAAAAACATGCCCAACTCAGTCCGTATTTTCAGTCCATATATTGTGGTCAATAACCTTGGCCGTTTACCTGTCTCACCCATCATTCTGCAAAGGCCTCGTTCCACAACCAGGTTTTTACTAGGTCAGGGGGGAGGGGGCAGATATAATTTCATTCGGGAGAGAATTCCATAGCCGGGAGGCCACCACAGAAAAGGCCCTATCTCTCGTTCCGACCAGACGCGACTGCGAAGGTGGCAGGACCGAGAGTGGAGCCTCTCCAGACGATCTTAACACTCTTGATGGTTCATAAGGCAGAATACGTTTGGACAGGTAAACTGGGCCGGAACCGTATAGGGTTTTGTAGGTTTAATGTACATCAAGAGTGGCCAAAAAGGTTTGACTCAGTCGCTACCTTTCTTTCCTAACAGTGGACTATGGTAGTGAATTTGAAGATGTTTCCACTCTAGTTCGAGACTAGGTTCTCATCAGAGTTGTTTCTTTCTCTTACAGAAGGGTACTGCGTTCCAGAATGGGACACCCTCATCTGTTGGCCGGAAAGTGCTCCGGGGACGTTGGTCTCCATGCCGTGCCCAGATTACATCTTTGACTTCAACCACAAAGGTAAATCCCTCACTGTCAGCCAGGTATTTTGACTCACCCAGGCCAATGAAGTTGAAGCTATCATGGAGTCTTCTTGTCAAGGCTTCTTTGCCATGGTCTTCCTCTGAGTGTCTCTCCCCCAAGGTCACCCCATAGGTTTCCATGGTTGAGTAGGCCTGTTTGATCAAGAAAAAATTTGTTTCTAAAATCGATTTGTAATTGGGGTGTTTTTTTGTTTCGATATTTAAAATAATTACAAAACTTTCCCCAAAAAGTTTTGGTATTTAAGAAATTTTGTAAATATTAACGAATTTTTAGAATATTTTTTGTATTTCTTAAGAATAATATTAAAATAATATTAAAAAATATTTTAAAATGGAAAATTAACCAAAAAATGGCCCAAATGTGGACCAAACACAGGCAGGAGACAGCAAATGAGAGCACACACCAACAGAAGAGTCTTTTCTTTTTTAGAATATTTTTTAAGAATAATATTAAAATAATATTAAAAAATAATATTAAAATAATATTAAAAATATTTTAAAATGGAAAATTAACAAAAAATGGCCCAAATGTTGACCAAACACAGGCAGGATACAGCAAATGAGAGCACACACCAACAGAAGAGTCTTTTCTTTTTTAGAATATTTTTTTAAAAATAATATTAAAAAATAATATTAAAAATAATATTAAAAAATAATATTAAAAAATATTTTAAAATGGAAAATTAACCAAAAAATGGCCCAAATGTGGACCAAACACAGGCAAGAGACAGCAAATGAAGCAAGCAGCACTCACAGCAGCAAGGAATGAATCCAATCCCAGTTACTAGCAGCCAAGCCAACCCAATGCAAACTCCCTCGCCCTCTGCAGCAAGCTACGGGCCGCGCAGAGCCGCTTTGAAAGGGCTCGCCGGCCAATCAAAAACAGACAGCCACGGACCCATGGTGCACTGCTTGGGAGCGCCGGATTGGCTCCCAGGCACCAGCACTCCAGCAGCCTCCACCCCATTAACGAAACGAGCGGAGGCTCGTTAAATCTATGGGGGTTGCTGGTTCGATATTTAAAAACCCTTCCGGGTTTGGAAATATGTTTTAATATCGCTTCGGAAATGCCAAAAATAACGAATTAATAACGAATTAACGAATTAACGAACGAAACCGCACAGGCCTATTGAGCAGGGATTCGAACCCTGGTCACTGGAGTCATAGTCCAATACTCAAACCATGACTCCATATTGGTACACTTGGATACTTGTAGGCTGAAATGGCACCATTTCAGGTAGATTTTTGGCTCCTGCCAACCAAATTCTGCTGTATTCATGGACCAAGCATTACCAAGAAGTTCATCTCTGACCCATCGCCATGTTTAGACTCTCGTTTTCTTCCCTCCTTCCTTAGGCCATGCTCATCGGCAGTGTGACCGGAATGGGAGCTGGGTCCAGGTGCCCAGCGTCAACCTCACCTGGGCCAACTACAGCGAATGTGCCAAGTTTTTCCCCATTGACACAAGGCAAAAGGTAATTCCCATTGTGTATTTGTTGTTGTGGTGGTGGCTATTATTGTTGCTGCTGCTACTACTACTGCTGCTGCTATACTGATCAACACACATTTTGGTGCCTCCAATGTTAGCCCTGTTTCTGGGTCTATTTGCCCTACTGACTCCAAAAATGGCACCAGTTTTCCTGCATCACTTCTAGTTTTTGAGATACAGAACATATGCCATCTATCAATTTATGCCTGCTCTTCGACATCTTTATCAATGACTTGGATGACAGAATGGAAGTCAGATGACACCAAACTGGAAGGAATAACTAATATCCCAGAGGATAAGACCTAAACTGACCACAGATTAGAGAGCTGAGTTAACACTACATATATGATTTTCAACAGGGGAAAATGTATGAGGGTTGAATGAAAAGTAATGCCTCCACCTTCATAACTCCTCAACAGATGGCAGTACTGGTATGCGGCAGGTACTAGCTTGCTCAGTAGACTCTACTCTACAGTTCCATTTTGGCGGGAAGCCTTAGCATTGAATGGTTGTGTTGTTAAAGTGCAAAGTATGGAACCCTGCACAATGCGATTTAAGCAACATGCAGTCATTGAATTCTTGACAGCAGAAGGTGTCAACCCAAAGGAGATTCATCAGAGAATGCAAGTTGTTTATGGCAATTGTGTTGATGTGTGTCGTTGGGCGAGTAAATTTAAAGTGACACCTTCTGCTGTCAAGAATTCAATGACTGCACGTTGCTTAAGTCGCATTGACCGACTGTCTGCACAGGGTTCCATACTTTGCACTTTAACAACACAACCGTTCAATGCTAAGGCTTCCTGCCAAAATGGAACTGCAGAGGAGAGTCTACTGAACAAGCCAGTACCTGCCACATACTAACACTGCCATCTGTTGAGGAGTTTGGGCGAGTAAGTTTAAAGATGTTGAAGTGACACCTTCTGCTGTCAAGAATTCAATGACTGCACGTTGCTTAAGTCGCATTGACCGACTATCTGTGCAGGGTTCCATACTTCACACTTTAACAACACAACCGTTCAATGCTAAGGCTTCCCGCCAAAATGGAACTGTAGAGGAGAGTCTATGGAACAAGTCAGTACCTGCCGCATGCCAGTACTGCCATCTCTTGAGGAGTTATGAAGGTGAAGGCATTACTTTTTATTCATCCCTTGTAAATATCCTGGATGGGATGGTCTTGGAGTCTTTTCCAACTCTAGGGTCTTGTGTTTCTTTTCTCTACACAACAGTGAATGGAATAAGAGTCCTCTTCACTTTCCACAGGTCGATACTAATAGATTTTGCATCCTCCATCTTCCGTCCTCCTGCCTCAGTAGGCATTTGCAATGCTCAAGGAGCAGCATCTGCAACTGGACTGGGAGAAAGCATGCTCTCTTTCTCTCTTTCTCACACACACCATTCAAGCTCCACCGGTCGTAACTGCTGCCTCCAGTGTTTATTTAGTTTCTGAATAGATTAACGTTGGCAAACCCTGCGCTCCAGCAGGGAATGCGGCCAGGAAAGCATTCCTGGTTCCCAGGTTTCGGGGATTCTGATGTAATCGGGTTGAGGTTAGATATCCGAGGGAAGGGAGCTCTCCTCTAGCGCTGATACAACACCAGAAATACTATTTAGAAGTCTCTTGATCTGTGTCTGTCAGAATGAATGCATTTGGACACTGCTTGAGCTGCTATGGCTCCATGCTCTTCAGTCCTGGGAGTTGTAGTTTGATAAGGTCTTGAGCCTTCTGTGCCCAAGAAAGCGAAACTACAACTCACAGGATTCCTTAGCACGGAGCCATAGTTGGAGTTGATTTGAAGTCGCAAAACAACAAGCAACTACCCTCATGTTTCCTACAGGAAATCTTCCATCGCCTCTACGTGATTTATACTGTGGGCTACTCCATCTCCTTGACTTCCCTAACCATTGCTGTCCTTATCCTGGGCTATTTCAGGTAAGCCGTGTCAATTCGGTCTCCATAATTTCATCCATGCATGGATGTGTACATGTCTATGGCAAAGGCAGTGGCAGCTGAAAAGGCCAATGCAATTCAAGGTTACACCAAGAGGAGTACAGGTAGTCCCCAAGTTACGAACAAGAAGGGTTCTGTAAGTTTGTTCTTAAATGGAATTTGTATGTAAGTCAGAACAGGTACATTTTTAAAGTGTAACTCCAGCCAAAGATAGATAGATAGATAGATAGATAGATAGATAGATAGATAGATAGATAGATAGATAGATAGATAGATGCTTACTTACTTAGGAGATCCCTCATAGCTTGAGGATGATTGTCTTCTAGATGTGGGTCCATAGGTGGCTGTGGCGCCCTTCCAATGTGTTACTTCCAATGTGTTACTTACTTTCCTAGGTGATCCCTTGTTGTCCGAGTAAGATTGTCCTCCAGGTGCAGTGTCCTGGCGGTGGTATGTAGGTGACTGTGGAGCCCGATTCTTGACCCGCATGTTCTCCTGCAGTGAGGGCATCGGTTTCCAGGTTGAAGGTGGTCCCGGTCAGGGTTGGCTTGACACACCTTTCACTTGGTCCATTTCTCTCTTTTGCCCTCCTGTCGTGCCTCTTCAAATTCTACAGCACTGCTGGTCACAGCCAACCTCCAGCTAGACCGTTCAAGGGCCAGGATTTCCCAGTTCTCGGTGTCTCTGCCACAGTTTTTAAGGTTGGCTTTGAGCCCATCTTTAAATCTCTTTTCCTGTCCTCCAACATTCCATTTCCCATTCTTGAGTTTGGAGTAGAATAACTGCTTTGGGAGGCAGTGATCGGGCATTAGGACAACAAGGCCGGTCCAGCGGAGTTGATGACGGAGGACCATCGCTTCAGTGCTGCTGGGCTTTGCTCCTTCCAGCACACTGATACTTGTCCACCTGTCTTCCCAAGAGATTTGCAGGATTTTTCAGAGGCAATGCTGATGGAATCATTCTAGGAGTTACATCTGTAGACAGTCCACGTTTTGCAGGCATATAGCAGGGTTAGGAGGACAATAGCTTTGTAAACAAGCACCTTGGTCTCCCTATGGATGTCCCGGTCCTCAAACACTCTCTACTTCATTCGGAAAAATGCTGCACTCTCATAGCTCAGGCAGTGTTGTATTTCAGTGTCGATGTTGACTTTGGTGGAGAGGTGGCTGTCAAGGATGCGGAAATGGTCCACATTTTCTAATGTTACACCATTAAGCTGTATCTCTGGCATTGGAGAGGGGTTGGCTGGTGACTGCTGGAAGAGCACTTTGGTTTTCTCGATGTCCAATGAGAGCCGAGCTTCTTGTATGCTCCTGCAAAGGTGTTTAGAGTAGTTTGTAGGTTTTCTTCTGAGTGCGCACAGATGACATTGTCATCAGCATATTGGAGTTCTATAATGGATGTTGTTATGACCTTGGTTTTGGCTTTCAGTCTGCTAAGGATAGATGGATGGATGGATGGATGGATGGATGGATGGATGGATAGATAGATAGATAGATAGATAGATAGATAGATAGATAGATAGAGGCTTTTGGATGGCTTAGGGAAGGCTTAACACCCCTACGATGTTTGTTTTGCTGTCTGTGCCCCTCTTCAGATTTCCCCTCACTTTCCATCCCTGTGAAAAATGTGGCTTGTTGTGGAAACAAGGATTGGAGATAAAGATTTCCCCATGATAATAGCTCTTCCAGGACTGAATTTCCCTTCCAAAAGGGTAGATTTCTCTAACTTCCTGTTGTCTCACCACTGTCCTTAACTAGAAGTCGTTTGTAAGTCGGACATTTGTAACTTGGGGACGGCCTGTATCGTGTCGATGGAGAACAGTCTTAGTTCCACTCTCTTCTGCTTTGGTTAGAGCTCACGTGGAATAATCCTGTGTCTAGTTCTGGACAACATAATTCAAGAAGGATATGGGCAAGCTGGATATGGCCCATGTGGACCACAGGAGGAAAAGTTGTCCATTAGAGATCCTAATTGTGACGTTCCTGACTAATGGACACCTTGAGTGGCCCTTTTGGATGCTGATTCTCCCCTTCTCTCCTCCCCCCAGGCGCTTGCACTGTACACGGAATTATATCCACATGCACCTCTTTGTCTCCTTCATCCTCCGCGCCATCAGCATCTTTGTGAAGGATGCCGTCCTCTACACCGGCTCAGCGCTGGAGGAGACGGAGCGCATCTCAGAAGAGGACTTCAAGTCCATCACCGAGGCGCCTCCGGCAGACAAATCTTCCCTTGTGAGTCTGACCCTCCTTTTGCCCTGAACCCAAATGCCACAGATCGAACAAGAAGGGCTCAATGGTGGGGAACCTGTCCCCAAATCAACCAAGGGTCTGAATCCAAGGTGCACCTACACAGTAGAATTAATTCAGTTGGACACTACTTTCATGACCTTGGCTCAATGCTATGGAGCCCTCGGTGGTGCGGTGAGTTAAACCCTTGTGCCGGCAGAACTGAAGACCAACAGGTCGGAGGTTCGAATCCGGGGAGAGCGTGGATGAGCTCCCTCTGTCAGCTCCAGCTCCCCATGCAGGGAAATGAGAGAAGCCTCCCACAAGGGCAATGCCCCCTGGGCAACGTCCTTACAGACGGCCAATTCTCTCACACCAGAAGTGACTTGCAGTTTCTCAAGTCCCTCCTGACATGGGGAAAAAAATGCTATGGAGGCCTGGGGGTTGTAGTTTGGTGAGGAACCACCATTCTTGGGCAGAAAAGGTTACAGACCTACAATTCACACTATGACACAGTCCTAGTGTTGTCATGTATTCCACCCTATCTCCCCTAGAGGACTCAGGGCAGTTGTATGGCCATGTTCCAGTAGCATTCTCTCCTGACGTTTTGCCTGCATCTGCAACTGGCATATTCAGAAGTCTGTTGGAAGTGAGGCAAGTGGAGTGTAGATATAGTAAAGGTAAAGGTTTTCCCCTGACATGAAGTCCAGTCATGTCCAACCTGGGGGGGGGGGTCGGTGCTCATCTCCATTTCTAAGCCGAAGAGCCGGCGTTGTCCGTAGACACCTCCAAGGTCATGTGGCCTGCATGGAACGCCATTACCTTCCCACCACAGCAGTACCTACCGATCTACTGTCATTTGCAAGTTTTCAAGCTACTAGGTTGGCAGAAGCTGGAGCTGACAGCAGGAGCTCACCCTGCTGCAATCTTTCAATCAACAAGTTCAGCAGCTCAGCGGTTTAACCCACTGCACCACCAGGGGCTCCAGTGTAGTTATACCTGTGGAATAATATCCAGGGTGGGAGAAAGAGTGTTTGTCTGTTTAAAGCAAGTGTGAACCAAAATCAAGACAGTAAATAATAAACACCACTCAGAAACAGGAGAATTCCAGACAGCAAGCAATCAAGGGCCAGTTAACGCCTCCCAAACAAAGGGTACCTCCAGACCACAACAGCCAATCTATTTATTTATTTACTATATTTATATATCGTCTCTCTCAGCTTGCAGGCGACTTGGGGTGGTTTACAATTGGTGCCAAGACCATAAAATACAATTTCAATGCAATACAAACAGCGAGGGTATCTATATGCAGATACCAATGTTGATTGACTTTGCAGCTACATAGCTACTCATGTTATTCAAGCTTGCTAATTGCAATATCCACACTTGCTCTAAAGAGACAAGAGTTTTTTTTCTCACACCCTGGATATTATTTTACAGGCATATATACACTCCACTGCCAACAGAACCTCTGAAGATGCCATTAGCCACAGATGCAGGCAAAACGAAAGGAGAGAATGCTGCTGGGGCATGGCCATACAACCCGAAAAACTCACAGCAACCCAGTTCTAGTGTTAATTAAATAATATTTATGCCCATCGTCAATTGATACCCAGTGACCTTCACCGCTAGGTGGCACTGTGGATCACATCTCACACTCCTTTCTCGATCCAATGCGGACCGAAGACTTGCACGGCTTGATTCGTGTGTATATTCCAAGCGTACATGCCTCAAGATCCTCTGTTTGTGTGCCTTCAAGACATTCCTGACATATGGTGACTAAGGCAACTCAAGGGATGGCTTGGCAAGGGTTTGACTGTGGCCTCCTCTGTGGCCGAGAGTGGGTGACTTTCCCAAGATCGCCACAAGTATGTGACATTGCATAGATATACAGCAGCATTCCTATGCTGGATCATATAGTTCCATAACAGAAGGTGCACCAAAGCAGTGAAAGGCTATCATATTGTGGAGAAGACAAGCTTGTTTTCTGCCCCTCCAGAGACAATGCACCTAACCCCTCCATCTCTTTCCTCAGGTGGGCTGCAAGGTTGCCGTGACCTTGTTCCTTTACTTCCTGGCCACCAACTACTACTGGATTCTGGTGGAAGGCCTCTACCTCCACAGCCTCATCTTCATGGCATTCTTCTCGGAGAAGAAATATCTTTGGGGATTAACCTTCTTTGGCTGGGGTGAGTCTCAGTTCGCCTTCCGTCCTTATCAGTCGATCAAAGCATTTCACATAATTCTACTAAGATGTGTAATACTTGGATGTGGAGCGTATCAAATGGACTTCAGGAAACAGAAGCCTACCTCTGATATTGCATGCTATCTCATTGTCTTCCATGTCATCAAGTGTTGTTTGTGTTGCACCATCCTTATGCTGAACCCCAGTACTGTGCATCTGATAACGCATTTGTTGATATGAGCTCTGTTTCCAAAATTCAGTTTCATCAAGTGCTACACTGAAGACAGTGAGACCTAACTGTGCCCAAACTGCCTGCAAACCTGCAACCAAATTTACAGCCACTACTCATACAGAATGCATCTTGTTGTTGTTCATTTGTTCAGTCGCTTCAGACGCTTGGTGACCTCCTGGACCAGCCCAGGCCAGAGCTCCCTTTAGGCCATCACCACCCCCAGCTCCTTCAGAGTCAAGCCAGTCACTTCAAGGATGCCATCCATCCATCTTGTCCTTGGTTGGCCCCTCTTCCTTTTTGCTTCTATTTTCCCCAGCATCATTGTCTTCTCTAAGCTTTCCTTCTCATGATGTGGCCAAAATACTTCAAATTTGCCTCTAATATCCTTCCCTCCAATGAGCAGTTGGGCTTTATTTCCTGGAGGATGGACTGGTTGGATCTTCTCGCGGTCCAAGGCACTCTCAGAACTTTCCTCCAGCACCACAGCTCAAAAGCATCTCTCTTCTTTCACTCAGCCTTCCTTATGGTCCAGCTGTCACATCCATAGTTTACTACGAGGAATACCATTGCTTTGACTATGCGGATCTTCGTTGCCAGTGTGATGTCTTTACTCTTCATTATTTTATCGAGATTGCTCATTGATATTCATGCCAAGTTTGGTGTCCAAATTTGGTGTCAATTCATCCAGTGGTTTTTGAGTTCTGTTAATCCCACAAATGAACATTGCATTTTTATTTATATATATTAATAATAATAATAATAATATTGGCAAGATATATATACTGGATTTCATATTATTATTATTATTATTATTATTATTATTATTAACTTGCCTTCTTGCGCTCAAGGTGAGGTACAACAGGTTTAAAACAGAGCAATAAAACACAACACAATTAAAATACATATAACACAAAACTAAGGGATGAGAGAAAATGTTTTAGATGGACTTTGGTTTGTTTTGGAGGCACAAACCACGCCAAAAATGAAATAATCAGAAAGGGACCTTGAGGCTGTATGGAAGATTTGTTTTTCCTTCCCTTGTTTAGTGGGAATTGCTTTAAAGAATTGCTTTTCCAGATCAGGTCAAAAACCGAGCTGATTTTGCATCCGTTCTCCAAGATCAGCCCAAATGGATGTTCCTGAGAAGGCCACCAAACGGGGTGTGACAGATGGCCACTTTACCCTCTTCATACCCATTGAAACAATTACTTTTTTTCCAGGCATCTAATTGCATTGGCTATAAAGAAACCTGCTGTAAGCCTGGCTTAGGATCCCTGCCAGGAAACTGTATCTAACCTTGTCAACAAATCCCCCAAATGAAAACAACACCAGTGCCAGAATTTGGTGCTCAGATTTCAACCGAGAAAATGTCAACATCTTTGTTAACTTGCCAGCCATCTGGGAATCCAAGATTCAGCTCCAGGACACAGCGGTTTGGTTCATAGCCAACCGTTGCTAAATCCGCCCTCCTTGCAATTGACCGAATCTTATAACAATTTCAATATTCTCCCAACATTTCACAGATGAAAGCCAGGCCACATGTTGGCAATCAGTATCATTTTTGGAGCCGAACATTATGAATGAAGGATGGCAGAAAAGAGAGGCTGCAACAGTTTGCTATTGCCGAAACCTACAGGGAAAGGAAAATATTATTTTGCTTTTTCCTCCCAAATCTGTGTACACAAGAGCAATTCTGGGAAACAAAATTGTGGGGCGGCTGTCCAGTTCTGCAATGTGGTGCCCCCTTCTCTCCCCTGAGATCTCCTGACCTTATAGGACCTGCATTGTACACACTGTGTGTATGGACTGGAGGTGCACAGCGCATACAATGTGGATGCTATAGAAGTCAACATCGGCGGCGCAACTGTCAAATCTTTTCTCCTTTGTGGTCTGTGCATTTGTTTGTGTGGCTGCGAGTCGGTATTTACGAAGCATTGGGTTAAATCCTACATCAGGGTCACACAGCTTCAAACTCCACAGTCAAGTTACCCTTTGGCCATGCGATGCAATTCTTACACTGAATGGCAGTGTTGTGCAATTGTGGGTGTATGCATTGCTCACATGTGAAAGTCAATACATAACTGGGCAAAAATTTGCAGCCACTTCAATAAGAGAACTGAAGCATGAGAATGATACCAACAGCATTCCGGCTAATGCATTTATATTAGGGATGGGCAAAGTTGGGATCTCCAGTCTAGGAAATGATGGCTCTCTCTGTGAGAAAACCAGCTCAGAAAGTGCAGGGCCTCAAGAGCATTCAGGGGAGTCAGAAGTAGCAACAGCAGATAAAAAATCGAGTGAAGAGCTGAGTGATAAAGAGGGTTCCCTTGGGAACCCACCTGTATCTACAGAAATCAACAAAAGTCTTCATTTACAAATCAGAGGTGAAAATAGATTGTGTCGTTCAGAGAGATTACATGAGAAAGTTGTGGAGAAAATTCACGGAAACAGAATGATTTCATGGGTGTCTATTAAACAACAAGTTGTTTACCTTAAGGTCAGTTCAGGCAACACTGCGTTAGAGTAAAAAGCCAAACTGAGTTCTCTTGTTCCTGGTTCAAGTCAAGCTTTGATTTTGAATTTAATATATCCTGGAACCTTTGATGTTCCTGTTTATGTGCTCCTGTTCAAGTTTTACTAGTTATACCTTCTTGATTGTGGTACCTGGTCAAAGTGGTCCCTGGTTAAGTTGTCCCTAGTCAAGTGGTCCCTGACCAAGTGGTCCCTGGTTAAGTTGTCCCTGGTCACAGTGGTCCCTAGTTAAGTGGTCCCTGGTCAAGTGGTCCCTGGTTAAGTTGTCCCTGGTCAAGTGGTCCCTGGTCAAGTGGTCCCTGACCAAGTGGTCTCTGGTTAAAGTGTCCCTGGTCAAAGTGGTCCCTGGTCAAGTGGTCCCTGGTCACAGTGGTCCCTGGTCAAGTGGTCCCTGGTCAAGTGGTCCCTGGTTAAATTGTCCCTGGCCAAGTGCTCCCTGGTTAAGTTGTCCCTGGTCACAGTGGTCCCTGGTCAAGTGGTCCCTGACCAAGTGGTCCCTGGTCAAAAAACAGCAGGGAACCATTGCATTAAATCCTCCACTATTATGAAAAGTCTCCAAATTCTACCAACTTTAACAAAAATCAGTGCAACTTCCAAGCAACAGTGGAGAGGGCTCCGAAATGTGCAAAAAGGAAGAGTACTTTGGGACTGCATGGGAGTTGCAACCAAAGGCAAGGTAAAAGAAAACTACAGATCTTCACAGGCACTCTTTCCGTTTCTTTCCAGGGCTGCCAGCTGTGTTCGTCTTAGTCTGGGCCACCTTACGGGCAACGGTGGCAGATACAGAGTAAGTCCTACATTGATCTTTTGCTTTTGAAAGTGCAAACTTTGAAGTTAGTGCTTCCTTCTTCCTTGGGTTTCCATGAATGTTTTCCTGAATGGAGCAAAAGAGAACAACATCCCTGTTAAAAATGAAGAGTGGTTGAGAAAGAATATCCAAACTTTGTGTCATCTTAGAAGAAAAGCAAAGTTGTAGATCCCCAAACAAAGAGATCCTATAGACCAGGCATGGGCAAATTCTGGCCCTTCAGGTGTTTTGGACTTCAACTCCCACAATTTGCTCATGCCTGCTATAGACCCTGAAACATAGTCCTTGGTGTCCCGTCTGTCATGGATTTATCCAGTCTCCTCTTCAAGCTATCCAAGCTGGCAACTATCCCTACAACTTGTGGCAACGAGTTCCACAGTTTAACCATTAGCAAAGACTGGATTTGTCATTCCGATGGTGCCCCAGGAAGGAATAATTCCTCAATATTGCTGCGCAGTGTGGTATATAAGAATGGATTACCAACTTGATGGGATTGTCTTTCTGCAGATGCTGGGATTTGAGCGCTGGCTACTTCAAGTGGTTCATTCAGGTGCCCATCCTTGCAGCTGTGATGGTGAGTAGCCCAGGCTTGTGACCTCATTGCATACTGGATTCCCCCCATTTCTACACACTTTAAAAAAATAGAATTTTAATTATTTTATTGTTACTTTTTAATACATTTTCATCACATTATTCATACTTATTTCAGTTAGGTAGCCACACTGCCTGAAGGAGCATAACCCACACTTTAGAAACAGTGAGGCCCATCCTCTGTTTGGGTATCAGCCAGCACGTCAACGACTTAAATCAAGAAATAGTTTTCTAATTTCTACAGACACTCGCTGGAACACCTCAGCAAGCGAGAGTCCAAAAGTGGCAGGCTCAAACCCAGAACCTCAACCCATGGCTGATACCAAATGAGAGACTCCCCCCTGGGCACACAGAAAACTGGGCAACTTGGAAGGCGCTGAACAGACTGCGCTCTGGCACCACGAGATGCAGAGCCAACCTCAAGAAATGGGGCCACAAAGTGGAACCCATGACATGTGAGTGTGGAGAAGAGCAAACCACTGACCACCTGTTACAATGCAACCTGAGCCCTGCCACATGCACAATGGAGGACCTCCTTGCGGCAACACCAGAGGCACTCCAAGGGACCAGATACTGGTCAAAGGACATTTAATCAACTACCAAGCTTGCAAACTTTGTGTTTTTTTATCTGTTTGTGTGCTGTCGCACGCTGGGCCTGTGCATCAGACTGTAGGCAGGACAAAAATTCTGTGTGCCCAATGGGATGCCGGGGCTGCCTCAGATTAAAGGCCTTTGCATTTCCTTAAAACAGAGTCTTTAGATTACTTAAAGGTTCAACAAAGTTCTTTATTAATGAAAACAAACAGGTGCTTTAAAGCTTTCTTAACAGTCTATTGGCTCTCTCTCAATCTTGTCCACAGGGAACAGGCACTATCTTCATAAACAGTATTTTAACTAATGGGGAAATCCTTAACTTCTAATCTGGGCAGTCTGTCTTTGCCTCTGTTGGCGTGGAGCCCCTGCACCCGGTACCAACTGCTTCTAGCTTCCGCGAGAGACCCTTACCTAGCAGAGCTTTGTAGACTTCCAGAGGAAAAAGGAGTTCAGGTTTCGATGATGGCTGACTGAAGTCCCTCAGCGAAGGAGCTGTAAGGCTGTATAATCCTCGGCCAAGCTACGGGACCTTTCTCCCCGGCCAAGCTGTAGAAGACAAAGCATTCTACAGGAGTTCTTGGTATTATGTCCTGCATGAAAGGCTTCTCTGTGTGGACTGACCCAAAATGGCTCCTCCCCAAAACCCAAAAAGGGGGCGGAACTAGGGATCCTAATGATTATTGACAGGTGGCTTGCCCTATGATTGCAGCCAAAAGAAGCCACTTATCTGCAGAGTCCTTGAAACTTAGGACTATAACAAACATTAAATGCAAAGCAAACAAGATTGGAGCTGCTGGTGCAGCTGTACCTGCACAGTTTGTTTGTTTTGTTCTGTTAGAAATGTAACACAATGATCTGGTTGCCCCTGACATGATAAATAAATAAAATGATCACCACAGTTCAAGAAAGAAGTAACTTTTCTGAGTTTTAGGATGCGATGGTCCTTCCTGTAGTGCATCAACTTGTTCCAAATTCAGTCCTTCTGTCAAAGTTGCAATCGAGAAGGTGTAATTTGCACATCTTGCATCCGTTTGCTTCATTTCTCCTGAGCACACAGGAGAGCTCCGCGTTCTTTTTCTCTGCTTCGGCGCAGAGACTAAACAAAGGCCTTGCCACAGAGCCCCTCCTCATTCACTCGTTTGCTTTTGGAAAACGCTCTCGACAAACAATTTCTGTGCACGTCTCTTGGGGATTTTCTTCACCAAAGGACAACACTGCTGTATGAGCCAATCGCAATCACGGAGGTCCTATATGGCATCCAGTTCAAGAGTTGGAAGGGAACTCCAAGGGCCATCCAGTCTGATTCCCTTCCGCCAGGCAAGGCACAATCTGATCCCTACCAAAAGATGGCCATCCATCATCAGTTTCAAAACCTCCAGAGAAAAAGAATCATAAAGTCTGAAGGGAACCCCAAGGGTCATCTAGTCCAACCTCTTTCTGCCAAGCAGGAAGGCACAATCTGATCCCTACCAAAAGATGGCCATCCATCCTTTGTTTCAAAACTTCCAGAGAAGGAGTCATAAAGTCGGAACGGAACACCATTGGTCATCTAGTCCAACCTCCTTCTGCCAAACAGGAAGGCACAATCTGATCCCTACCAAAAGAGGGTCATCTATGCTCTGTTTCAAAAGCTGCAGAGGAGAGACACCAACACACACTGAATCATAGAGTTGGAAAGGAACCCCAATGGTCACAGAATCATAGAATCATAGAGTTGGGAGAGACCTCCTGGGCCATCCAGTCCAACCCCATTCTGCCAAGAAGCAGGAATATTGCATTCAAAGCACCCCAACAGATGGCCATCCACTCTGTTTAAAAGCTTCCAAATAAAGAGCCTCCACCACACTCTGGAGCAGAGAGTTCCACTGCTGAACGGCTCTCACAGTCAGGAAGTTCTTCCTAAGAGTTCCACTGCTGAACAGCTCTCACAGTCAGGAAGTTCAGGCAGAGAGTTTCACTGCTGAACAGCTCTCACAGTCAGGAAGTTCTTCCTAAGAGTTCCACTGCTGAATGGCTCTCACAGTCAAGAAGTTCAGGCAGAGAGTTCCACAGCTGAACAGCTCTCACAGTCAGGAAGTTCTTCCAAAGAGTTCCACTGCTGAACAGCTCTCACAGTCAGGAAGTTCAGGCAGAGAGTTCCACTGCTGAACAGCTCTCACAGTCAGGAAGTTCAGGCATGAGTTCCACTGCTGAATGGCTCTCACACTCAGTAAGTTCAGGCAGAGAGTTCCACTGCTGAACAGCTCTCACAGTCAGGAAGTTCTTCTCCTTTCTTGTAGTTTGAAGCCATTGTTCCATTGCGTCCTAGTCTCCAGGGAAGCAAAAAACAAGCTTGCTCCCTCCTCCCTCTGACTTCCTCTCACATCTTGATCCCTGGCCATCATCATGTCTCCTCTCAGCCTTATCTTCTTCAGGCTAAACATGCCCAGCTCTTTAAGCCGGTTCTCATAGATCTTGTTCTCCAGACCCTTGATCATTTTATTTGCCCTCCTCTGGACACATTCCAGCTTGTCAATATCTCTCTTCAATTGTGATCATCCAGCCCCCCTTCTGCCAAGTAGGAGGACAACAATGTGATCCCTCCTTACAGATGGCCATCCATCTTCTGTTTAAGGACATCCAGGGAAGGAGAAACTCCAATGCACCCTGAATCATAAAGTTGAAAGGGAACCTCAAAAGTCATAGAATCAAAGAGTTAGAAGACACCTTGTGAGCCATCCAGTCGAATCTCCTTCTGCCATTCAGGAAGACACCATCTGACCCTTCCCTACAGATGGCCATCCATTCTCTGTTTCAAAGCCTCCAGAGAAGTGGAGACTCCAACACACCCTGAATCATAAGAGTTGCAAGAGAACCCCAAAGGCTATTCAGTCCAACCCCCTTCTGCCAAGACACAATCCGATTCTTCCTGATAGATAGATAGATAGATAGATAGATAGATAGATAGATAGATAGATAGATAGACAACCATCCATCCAAAATGTCAGAGAAGGAGACAGCACATTCCTAGGTAGTTCAACTAGAGGTGAAATGGATCCCCAAAGGTCATCCAGTCCATTCTATTAAAGCATTCCTGACAGATGGGCATCCAGCCTCTGCTGCAGAGAAAAACCTCAAAAGTTTTATTGTATTGTTAAGGTTAATAATCATCTGATTTTTATTACCTTGGATTTATTTTTGGCTAGCTCACAATTGTTTTGCTGTTTGCAATTGTTTTAGTGCTTTGTACACTCCCCGTTCTGTGTCTAAAGCAGTAAAAAAATTGGAAGGACAGTGAATAAACATAACCTGAAATGCAGCTTGTACAGATCTGCTCCAGTTCTAATGTCCTCCTTTTCTTCTTCTTTGTCTCTGTGATCTTCTCTTCTAGGCAAATTTTATCCTTTTTATCAAAATCATCCGGGTCCTTGCAACCAAACTCCGGGAGACCAATGCAGGGAGATGTGATACAAGACAACAGTATAGGTAAGTGGCAGAGCCGTGGAGCTGGCAGAGCTTCCCAAGGATCCCAAGTATGCCTGAGATAATAGCATTGAGCCATGGTTGCTTAAGTCGTGCCAAACTGCATCAATTCATCAGTGTAGCTGCAGCCGTCTTCATACATTGAAATGACTGTGGGTGATGGCATTACAAGATGGTATAGTATATCCAAAGCAGACACACAGACTCCAGCACTGGTTTTATAATAGCTACTAGCCGTTCCCTGCCACGCGTTGCTGTGGCCCAGTCTGGTGATCTGGCAAATAAAGTAATGGTTTCTAATATATGTAATTTCTTTATGCTTGTGTTTAAACAGTATTTCTTGCTGTTTCTTTGTCAGTCTTGATGTGGAGATTGTCTGGTTTGCCTACTCTGGAACATGCAACATATAATTGTCCTTCTTTAGGGGTCCCTTTCAAATCTATGATACTATATCTGTATGTGTGTGTGTGTCTGTGTGTGTGTGTGTGTGAATCATATACATCTACCTGGAGAACAAGCCCTATGAGGAGCGGCTTAAGGAGCTGGGCATGTTTAGCCTGAAGAAGAGAAGGCTGAGAGGGGATATGATAGCCATGTATAAATATGTGAGAGGAAGCCACAGGGAGGAGGGAGCAAGCTTGTTTTCTGCTTCCTTGGAGACTAGACGCGAAACAATGGCTTCAAACTACAAGAAAGGAGATTCCATCTGAACATGAGGAAGAACTTCCTGACTGTGAGAGCCGTTCAGCAGTGGAACTCTCTGCCCCGGAGTGTGGTGGAGGCTCCTTCTTTGGAAGCTTTTAAACAGAAGCTGGATGGCCATCTGTCAGGGGTGATGTGAATACAATATTCCTGCTTCTTGGCAGAATGGGGTTGGACTGGATGGCCCATGAGGTCTCTTCCAACTCTTTGATTCTATGATTCTATATATATGACTGGATGGCTCTTTGTCAGGAGGGCTTTGATTAGATTTTCTTGCCCTGGTGAAGAGAGTTGGACTGGATGGCCTTAAGTATTTTCTGTTGGTCATGGGGATTCTATGTGGGAAATTTGCCCCAATTCTGTCATTGGTGGGGTTCAGAATTCTCTTTGATTGTAGGTGAACTATAAATCCCAGTAACTGCAAATCCCAAATGTCAAGGTCTATTTCCCCAAACTCCATCTGTGATCATATTTGGGCATATAGAATATTTGTGCCAAGTTTGTTCCAGATCCATCATTGTTTGAGTCCACAGTACTCTCTGGATGAAGGTGAACTACAACTCCCAAAGTCAAGGTCAATGCCCACCAAACCCTTCTGGTCTTTTCTGTTGGTCATGGGAGTCCTGTGTGTCACCTTTGGTTCAATTCCATCATTGGTGGAGCTCAGAATGCTCTTTGATTGTAGGTGAACTATAAATCCCAAGAAGTACAACTCCCAAATGACAAAATCAAAAATGTTTGAGTGAAGGACATACATTGGGTTGTTAGGTGTATTCTGTCCAAAGTTGGTGTCAATTCGCTCACTGGTTTTTGAGTTTTGTGAATATCACAAACGAACATTACATTTTTATTTATATAGATATTGGTTAGTTACACAGACAAAGGGGAAACGTTACATTTACTCCCAACATTCATCAATACATTCATATTCACCATCCGACCTCCGTTTAGGCCTAATACTCCTGGGAGAAAAGATGCTGCATCCCTGCAGATCTGGCACACAATCGAAAAAGAAAAGGGTCTCTTATGTAGAGCATTTGGTTATCCATTATTTGGCTTAATGTATTGACGAAAGTTTTCATGATCGGAATCACTGGGTTGTTGTAGGTTTTTCAGGCTGTATGGCCATGTTCTAGAAACATTCTCTCCTAAGAGAATGCTTCTAGAACATGGTCATACAGCCCAAAAAAACCCCTACAACGACCCATTATTTGGCTGTTTAGATAACTTCTGTCATTCAACTCAGACCTGCTGGAGGTTCATCAATTCCAAAACAGATCGGTTTTACTTCTTTAACTTAAAGAGCTATTGTCTGATTATGTAAACATGTGTTGTCTGCACCCAAAGTGCTCGGTTCTCATCAGCACCAAAGTTCATAAAATCCTTCACCTTCCTTGCTCTCCATAATGAAGCTTTCCCGGTTCCATTTTTGGGATGGGGTCTTGAGCCTTGCCAGACCTTAATAGGCCCCAGCCAGACCTTAAACATATATGTCATTCAATCCATTCACCATAGATCCATAGTTATCCCATTCTGGTATTGATTTATTGATTTATTTACCACATTTGTATACCGCCTTTCTCAGCCCAGAGGCAACTCAAGGCGGTTCACCATCGGCAGCAATTTGTTCCCGTAACAGTTATAAAATACAATTAAAAACAATTATAAAAACAATTAAAACAGTTAGGATATGATATAAAAACTGTACAACCTATAACAACATAATCATCAGTGTCTCCTTACTAAAATAATTATCCAATTGCATCAGCAGTCGTTCCATAATTTCATATTTGCCTGATTATGCTGCATTAGTGAAAGCTTGCTCGAAGAGCCAGGACTTGACCTTTTTGCGGAATGTCAGAAGGGAGGGGGCCAATCTTATATCTCTGGGAAGGGCATTTTACAGAAGGGCCACCACTGAGAAGGCCCTGTCACTCATTCCCACAAAATGCATCCACGAGGGAGACAGGACCAAGAGCAGGGCCTCCCCAGAAGATCTTAAAGTCCTAGATGGTTCATAAGAAGAGATATGTTCGGACAGGTCAGCCTAATGGAGATGTCTGCAATGGTCTGGGTAGGAGCGGCGACTCAGGTGTAATCAAACGCACATAGAAAGGATTAAATCAGACCCAAATGCCACTGTCCAGTGCCTCAAAAAGCTGTGGGATACTCCAGAGCTTCCAGCAAAATTTGAAACATCCCCCAACTTTGCTTAAAGTAGGGCAAAGTCCGTTTACAACATGGATACTCATTGGACGCCACTATGCATTAGGGGACAAACAGTGATCCATTGAGGGTGAATCCTGGGTGCTTTGCAACTATTGACAAGCCCTGGGTAATCTTGGGCAAGTCATACACCAAGTACTTAATGTGGGATTGAAGGCATCTCGAGAATGTGGTGTTCAAATGATGCACAGTGCAAACACATAGAATCATAAAATCATAGAATCAAAGAGTTGGAAGAGACCCCATGGGCCATCCAGCCCAACCCCATTCTGCCAAGAAGCAGGAATATTGCATTCAAATCACCCCTGACAGATGGCCATCCAGCCTCTGTTTAAAAGCTTCCAAAGAAGGAGCCTCCACCACACTCCGGGGCAGAGAGTTCCACTGCTGAACGGCTCTCACAGTCAGGAAGTTCTTCCTCATGTTCAGATGGAATCTCCTCTCTTGTAGTTTGAAGTCCATTGTTCCACGTCCTAGTCTCCAGGGCAGCAGAAAACAAGCTTGCTCCCTCCTCCCTGTGGCTTCCTCTCACATATTTATACATGGCTATCATATCTCCTCTCAGCCTTCTCTTCTTCAGGCTAAACATGCCCAGCTCTTTAAGCCGCTCCTCATAGGGCTTGTTCTCCAGACCCTTGATCATTTTAGTCGCCCCCTCTGGACACATTCCAGCTTGTCAATATCTCTCTTGAATTGTGGTGCCCAGAATTGGACACAATATTCCAGGTGTGGTCTAACCAAAGCAGAATAGAGGGGTAGCATTACTTCCTTAGATCTAGACACTATGCTCCTATTGATGCAGGCCAAAATCCCATTGGCTTTTTTTGCCACACACAGGAACACTCTTTAGAAGCCTTAAAATGGGATAGGCAAGATGGTGCAATGCTCCAAAATAGGACCTGTAATGTGCATCAGGATGCATAAGTGTAAAACACATTACATGGCAAAACCAATTGAAGGACAGGTGCTCCAATATTGCAGCAAGAGAGTGGGAAGAAATCCAGAATCCCTCACAACCGTGAAGATACTGCAGATCCTGGAACCGGGTCAGAGCCAAACTCTCTGGTGCATCCTGGCACCATTCAGACCTTGAACCAGCTCTAGGACTTCACATGGAATCATCCATTTCCATCTGTGCCGCTTTCATCCTGTGTTGAGTACACTTAGCCCCAGCAAACCAAGGGAACAGTTTACTATAAATCATTAATGACTTGAAGGCACGCAATAACATGGTCACAAGGCTGGTTATTTTAGAGTTTATTACAGAAGAGGGACATACACTTGGCCCCATTGTTCCCCATTTGAAGAAGCCCAGGAATTCTCTCGGACTGATCCAGCCTCTGGAAACTCTGAGTGGAGGTAGAGCGGGCTGTGAAGAAAGCAACGGGCCTCACAAACAGGCTGAGCGACCAACCTCTTGGCTTTGGATTCCCAAATGCCAGGCCCTTCCCAGCCCTGGTCAAAACAGAACGCTGGCTTCTTCAGAAGTGGTTTTGGCCTCCCTCGAGACGCCACGCAGAGCTACAAGAATGTCTAGCGACACCTGTCATCGGCCTTTCAGATCTCCGCCGGCTCTGGCTTTGAGACGGCACTGACGTTGGGAACGTGGCATTTCTAGAACCCAACCTACAAGCCCTGTGTTTCACCACATTTGCACCAAAAGTTCCATTTTGTCGAATAGGATGAGTTGCTTTAGCAAAAGGAAAAGATCGGGAGCTTGGAGCAAACCTTAAGTATTTGCAAAGAAAGGATTTAGTTTGGAGAATGATGGAGGGAGGGAGGGAGGCAGCAATTTGAAAAATGCCCAAGATTGCAGTTTGCAACCAGCCTTGAAAAAAGCCCAAGCGTGGTCAAGAGGCCTATTATTTACCTACCGATTTATTTCATGCTCTTTGAGGCTTGTTATTAATTATGGTTTGGATGCACTCGGTTGGTCCTGAACGGTGTTTTTCCAGCTCTCCGGCTCCGAACGGCGGCCGGTTGCCAGCAAACGGCCCTAAAGGCGGTGGTTGCCCCCTTGGTAATTGCCTCCATGCGGTGCCACGGCAGCGGTTGGCATCCCTTCCCTCCTCCTT